CTGTCCCTCTCTCGTCAAATTTAAATAAATAAATGTATGTATGTAAATAATTGTTAAAAAAAAAAAAAAAAACTCAGCTTCCTCACCAACTCTTTCGCAAAGCCTCATCTCCGCCTACATCCCTAACCCGGCAATCTAGCTGAGGCACTCCCACAACACCTTAGCACTTCTATATCCGATTTACTCGCCTGTTTTTAAGGTTAGCCTGTCTCTTTCCCACGGGATAGTGAGCTACTCACAGGAGGTAAGTCATCACTCCCGTTCGTTAGGTTTACAAGTGTGCTGACATGCCTAGCGCACACGTTCGATAAGTGTTTGTTAAACGAAAGGATGAATGTTCTGTTTTCTACCTGATGCTGCATCAAGGCTGCAAACTTCACGTGAAGGTGTGCAGAAAACCAGTAAGTAGGCTTTAAGTGCTCCAAAAGTTCAGAGGCAGCGGGGCTTCCTAACGTGTTATTCTCCACCTCTTGTCGGAAAAAAGATTTAGTCTTAAGAAGTTGCTTCTTATTTCCATAATGATATATACTTCTGGGCCAATCGTGAGATAAGAATATATCCACAGGTTGCTTCAGCTTAAAGAGAAAGAAAGAAAGAAAATTCTTAGAAACAAATAGACAAAAATAACCCCTTCCCGTCTCTCCACCACCAGACACCATTCACCCAGGTAGATCTGTAGACTTCTATGTAAATCATTCTAAGAGCATTTTATTTAAGAAAGTCATAAAAAGAATGAGGCTACTTATTTATCCAGGAGAAGAGAAGCAGCTTGCTTTCTGCTTGCCCTGTAAATCACTCTCATGTTCTGGGACAAGGCAGGACAACAGAGATGCATTTGAATTAGACAGGACACCGGCTAAGGTCTTTAGTACTGGGTTTCTAAACACGTGTTGGGTCATCAGGAAAGTCATGGCGCATTTTTGCACAAAAAAATATGTCATGAGTTTCCCCATGGCTTCATAATTACTATAGTTCTTTCTTGCCTTGGTGAACAAATTACTGCTTTGATGATCCAGAGAAACCTGATTTCATGAGACCTCTAACATGATATAGGAAACACAAAGAGTTAGCTGAAAAAGAACTGTTTTCTAATGGGCTCACATAATATAAACCAAAAAAGTCTATTTACTATCTGAATTAATAGTTAAGCTGACAGGTGTCTTCACAGGGAAGACACAAAATATACTCCATATTTAACTTATCATCAGCACTTTCAAGTAATTTAAAACAAGTATCTGGAAAACGAAACTAAAACAACTTAAATCACTGCCCTAGACAATAGAAAACCTAAGACGGTTATGACTGTCCACTGAATAACTGGCATGAACGGGTGCAGTGAAAATTCAGAGAAAGGGGATGACTCTGAGCTAGAAAAGACGTGGCTAGGAAGTGGGATCTTTTTTTTTTTTTTTGGAGAGGTTTTTGTTGTAGGGTGCGTGCACTTGCTGGAAAGGGGCAAAGAGAGAGAAAGCGAAAAATCTCCCCCCCAGAGGGTGGAGGGGTGGCCACGCCGCAATCCCTTCTCCTCCATTCTTCTCTCAGGATCTTGGGCACGCACGCACATGCGCCTGGCTTGAGTTTAAGCCACCGGGTCCGGGACTCGAACTGCGGTCAGCTATATGGGAGTCCAGCCATTACGCCAACTGCTGGTCCCAAAGAACTGGTATCATAAGTGGGTCCTAAAGGACTGGTAGGATACAGATCCGTGAAGGGAAAAAACGTTCAAAGGACCTGTCTGAGCAAGGCCTGAAAGATGCCTGCAAGGATCCTCCTCTCCTGCAGAGGCGCTCTGGTATGGCTCAAAGGGCATGAGCACCGTCAGATGGGCTCCAACTTCACCGCCTCGGGGCTCCCAAACGGGTGACCATTGTGTGCGCCTTGGCTTCTCACCCTTGAGATGATGAGGCTGGAGCAAGGCCGACCTCACAGGATCTGAGTGGGAATTGTACAGAAGACCAGGTGTGAAGCTGTGTGACCCGGCAGAGGTCAGTGGTGGGCTCAGAACAACCAGCTCCACCTACTCTCCAATTCAGTGAATGCTTCGATGCCGCCTTCACAGGTTCCCATGTTCTCTACCATCTTTTCTACAACTTATTTTCTATGTAACATCATTATTGTATTACCACTATTTAAAATAGAATACTTACTTTAATATTTTCTTTAAGGTATCATTTCAATACATATTCTTTAGCCTTACCCTAAATGATAATTATTTTATATAATAGTAATAATTCATTACCATTAAATAAATGTATTCATTTATCATTATTATTATTATTTACATTTGCTATAGTCACCAGAAAGAAAACAGAAAGAGAGAGAAAGAGGGAAAATGAGAAAGCAAGCCACCAGATCCAGGACTTAAACCATGGTTGGCCATGCGGGAGTGCCTTAAACACCATGCCACCTGGTCCCCCTATTACCATTAAAATTTTAAAATGTTTTCCTGTAAACTTCCTAAAAGTAACTAAAGATCCAAATTTTAGAAACACTGAATTGTTCTTCCTGAAAGTAGTATACCAGTATGATCAAAATATCTTCTGACACAGAATTACTTTAAAATTTTTTCAAATCTGCTATAATGTACTTGTACATACCTGTTTTAATTTATAGACTTCAATATTTCTCACATGATATATACTCCTTATTGTAGAAGAATTATAAGGGGGGCACTCAAAATGACCTTAAATTAAAGATGAGAAATAAGTTACATTTAATTGTCTCAAATAATGCAAATGCAAATACATATACATACTTCTCATTTAATTGTCTCAAATAATGCAAATGCAAATCCTATACATACTTGTATAAAATTGACATTTGTCATCAAATGCTTTGGGCTTTTAAAAGTTTTCTAATAAGCATTCACAAACTATAAAGCTAATAACTCGGGGGAGTTGTGATTTATATGTTTACATAGTTTAAAATGTAAAAGATACCATTAGAAACACAAGAGTAAAAAGTATCCCTTCTAGACAGTAGATTAGCCTAGGGCTGGGAAAAAGCAGGGATTACCTGAAAATAGGCATGAAAATTTTTTGGAGTGATAGAAATATTCTGAATGGTGGTAATATTTGCTTAACTATAAATTTACTAAAATCACTGAGCTGTACTGAACTGTCTACTTATAATGGTATCCTACATATTATTAACTCCCAGCCCTTAGGCAACCAATGTTAATCAGGTTCTTGTATTTTATCCCAAGGGTCATAACTCTTCCTACTATATATAAGGCGTATAAAATGTTTCGATATTCACATACACAGTGAAACAATTACTATGGTCAGGTAAATTAACATATTTGTCACCGCACGTAGTCGACTTTCTTGTGCATGCTATTAAATATTTACAGATCTATTCTAGCAATTTTCCATGATATCATCTACATTATCAACTGCAGTCCTCAAGTGATTGGGTCCTTGCAAAAGGCAGGATGTATTTATCTGTTTCTCTAGGCAAAAATGCATCATGACTTTTCCAATGACTCAATGTATTATTGTAATTTTGTACCTTTGACCTCTGTTTCTCCATTTCTGCTCACTACCCTGTAACTACTATTCTACTCTCTGCTTCTACGGTTTTGAGGTTTTCGTTTTGCTAAGATTCCACGTGTAAGTGAGATTATGAACTCAGTTGGCTAACGTCCTGTATGTTCATCCACGTTGCTGCAGAGGCAAGATCACCTTCCGTCAAGACTGAATACTATTCCGTTGTACACATGCCGCAATCTGTCCTTCTATTCCTCAATGAACACGTACGTTCCTTCTGTATTTGGCTATAAGATACAAGTACTTACTCACATTCACTCTGTAATCAAGTTCATTGTTTTCCTGTTCTCAATCCCTTTCCCCTGCTTTAGCTCCTCTCTCTTCGCCAGGTAGTTGTTATCCTCAATTTGCTATTTATCACTCATTTGATTATTTTCTACCATCATTGCAATGGTAATGGTTTGTTCATGACACAACGGCGGCATACTTTCATATATGTCCTGTGCCATGCTTTTTTCACTTATCTTGGATATCTTTCCATATTAGTTACACACATTGTTCTTTGTTCAATTAGGTTTTTTTTTGTTTTGTTTAAAAAAAAAAAAAAACATGGCTTTCTAGCATTACATTATGGAGTCACATCATGATATATTTAACTATCTCCTCCTTTTTGCTGTTACAAAGAATAAAATTTAATTATGAGGAGGTGTCTTCAAAAAGTTCATGGAAGGGAACCAGCAGTTAGTGTAATGGCTATGTCGCTGGACTCCCATGTAGTCGACCGCGGTTTGCGTCCTGGACCCAGTGGCTTAAAACTCAGGCTGGGGACGTGTGCGTGTGTGCCCAAGATCCCGAGAGGAGAACGGAGAAGGGATTGCAGCGTGACCATCCCCTCTAGGGGGTGATTTCTCGCTTTCTGTCTCTATGTCTCTCTCTGTCTGGCAAGCGCACACGCCCTATAGCAAAAATCTCTCCAAAAAAAAAAAAAGTTCATGGAAAATACATACTATAAAAGAACTATGTATGAATCTCAAAAAAAAACTTTTTGGGGGGACCAGCAGTTGGCATAATGGCTATGTTGCTGGACTCCCATGTAGTTGACCATGGTTTGAGAACTGGACCTGGTGGCTTAAACTCACGCTGGGTACATGTCCTTGTGTGCCCAAGGAATTGCGATTGCGGCATGGCCATCCCCCTGAAGGGTGATTTCTTGCTTTCTGTCTGTCTTTCTGGCGAGCACAAAACCTCTCAAAAATAAATAAATAAATATTTTGTGCACCAAATGACCTTGTAATTTAATTATACTTTTTCCAAAAAAGGGTTTGAAATTCTCTGTGCATTGTTTTGCACTTGTGAAATACATTTTGTAGAGAAATTCCTGGAAGCAGAACTGCTGGTTCAGAATTCCTTTTATGACTCCCACAAATACGTATTACCAATTCTCTTCCCCGGAGTGGTTTCAGTGTGCACCCACACCTGCCACATAGGAGATAACCTGTTTTTGTACATCTACACCAACAGTTTAGAATCATGGGAGCAGAGTGCAGGGAACAGATCTGTGATAACAATGACATCGAGGATGGAATTTTAGCTGCTAATGCACTGGTTAAGTTTGTGAAATCTTAAATCTAAACTATTTCTTTAACTTTAAAATTGAGGCATAATTCATTCAGATACAGTGTAATGAATAAGTACATTGTGGCATACGTACACAATGAAATATTACTTACAAAAGAACAGACTAATATGTATCAACATCAACTTCAAAAACATGTTACACAAGTTGCAGAAAAACCACAAAAAATAGGATACATTTATAGCAAGCTTGAAATATGTAATATATACATTGTTTAAAATAAGTAAACGATAAACAACAAAATCAGAATAGCTAATGCCTACTGAAGAGAGGAATGAGACTGAGAACGGGTAAACAAGGAACTTTTCATTGTATCTGTTCTGTTTTATTTCTTAAAAATCAGAATTAAAAATGGGAAAATGCTAAAACTTGATAAAAAACTAGGTGGTGGATACACAGATAATATGTTATAATGTTCTCTATATTTTCGTATGTATAAAACATTTTGTATTAAAAACTAAGGTATCTTCGCAGAAGAAACCCAATGAAAACGTCAAACTATTCATTTTGTCTGCGTTATTGTTGGACAAACCTTTTCGATAATCGTGTGCTTTAAAGATGCCCGAGATTCCACCAATCCTTACGCCTCGGTATTTTACCACACCAGCCAAACCTGAAAAATTCACAGTTAGGTAAAATTACCATAGGCAAAAGCAATCTCTTTGTTGACCTAATAAGACATTTCAACAGTCTAGAATTCTATGCAGTCCTAAAATTACTGGAAAATTAAGTACCATAATATGATTATTCTTTTCACAGAGGACTATGCCAACCACATATAAGGTAGATGAGGAAAGGAGGCCTGAAAGCAGATCAGTCGATACTAAGTATTGATGATTCTGGAAGGGACAAATGAGACAGGGTATTGAAAGATCTACTTTGGTACCTAATGGAATAGTTGGTGGTGGGAAGCGACAGAGGAAAATGTCCTATGATGGGTTCGCATGTTATCAATCTGAAAGGCAGCAAGTATAAAATATAAACTACCTGCAGTTTCTACATTTCAGCTCTGATTAATCATCAGACTTTTCCTTTTCACAACAGTGCGGCTGTCGAATGATCAACTGGTAATGAAATAGAGAAATAGGATTTCTGGGGGCCGGCAAATGGTATGGTGGTGAAGGCGCTGGACACTCCCACATGGCTGACCATGGTTCGAGTCTTGGACCTGGTGGCTTGCTTTCTCACTTTCCCTCTCTCTCTCTCTGTGTCTCTCTCTGGTCAAATGAAAATGAATGAATGAATGAATGCATGAAACTAAATACTGAATGAATGAATGAATGAATGAATGAAAGTAAATAAATAATTATAAAAAATAATAATAAAATAAATTCTATTAAAAAAAGAAATAGAATTTCTGAAAGTATGATTCTATAGTTGGAAAAACCTGTGAACAGTTCTAGAAGAAATATATCTTTAAATAAAGAGATGACAAGCTTGTTTAAAAAGACTAAAAGTGAAACTGAATCTAATCAGGCCTGTAAAAGAAACTGCAGATTATAGGAAATGCAAAGAATAAGGAACATTGAAACACCACCCCAGACAATTCAGTCATCTATATCTCGAGAGTAGGAAGTACTTACTATCGGACAAATTCACCATTTTCTTCAACAAATAAATAGCATAAAAGACAGAGAGGGAGAAGGGCCATCACAGGGCAAGAGATTACAGTCGTGAAAACCCCATGAAACGTGTGAGCCGCGTTTGGCCCCATGTGAACAGATCAATTGTAAAGCAGACGTCCTGTGATAAGCAGGACATCTGACAGAACGAGGCAATAGATAACAAGGAATTACTGTTACTTTAATTAGGTATAATAACAGTACTATAGTTGGGGTTTTTGTTGTTGTTTTTTGAGAGAAGTTTTTTGCTATAGCGCGCATGCGCTCACCAGGAAGGCAGAGAGAAAGACATAAAGTGAGAAATCACCCCACAGGGAGGATGGCCACGCAGCAATCCCTTCTCCTCCATTCTCCTCTAGGGATCTTGGGCACGCACGCACATATGCCCTGCATCAGTTTAAGCCACCGGGTCTGGGACGCGAACCACGGTCGACCACATGGGAGTAGAGGGACGTAGCCATTCATTATGCCAACTGGTGGTCCCTATAGTTGTGATATTTTTAAAAACTTTATCACTTAAAAATGTGTAAACCTAATGGCTGAGATTTCTTTTAAACACTCCAGATTACCTCCTTGCACAAAAGAAGTTTAGGAGATGTGGGTTGAAAACAAGACTAGAAATATCTTAGTTGTTGAAGCTGGTAAACACATATAGAGAGGCATCATCTACTGTACTTTTGTGTATGTCCAACAATTCCCGCTACACAAAGCTTAACTCTTTTTTAATTCAATAAAACGTTTTCTATAAAAAGAAAAAAGGACTACAAATAGCGTAAAGTCTTTGCAGATACATTAACTATTATTTAAAACTCTGGATGAAGCATGGGCATATTTTCACAATCAACCATTTCATAATGAACTGTTCTAATTAAATGCGGATGACTGTTTAATTACATTCCCCAAACATCACATGATCTCAAGATGCTACCCAACTAATACAAAGCCTGACAGCCTCTTCCAGCCCATCCAACCAAAAATTTACCCAAGAACACATACCTAAATAATAAATGTTCGGGGCCACCCAGCCACCATAGGGTAACTCTTGCAAATGGTTTGAGGCTTCATGATTCCCCCCAATGAAGACTGTGAGGATCGGCGCCTTCTTCTCTCCAGAGTAATACCTGGAACACAGGATGAAGTTGCCACAGTCACCATCAGGCATAGCAATAAAGCAAAATAAGGTCTGAAGGGAAACAAGGTAAAAAGTTACAAAGCTCTTTCTATAGGAATCGTCCTTGTCCTTAAGCATGAAGAGCGGCCACCGTGGGTTTCAAGCTTGACAGTGTTCAATGAGGTCATGCATTTTCCTCGAGCTCATCGCTACAACCTCAGCTTCTAGAACGGGACTAGCACATAGCAGGCTGTCCAGGAAAAACTACAGACCATTCAATGAACTCAGAGCCCCACCGAGTACAAGGCGGATGTGTAAATCTGTCTGATTCTCCCTCCAGGCTGCGATCCCTCGGGAAACAGGTAAGACAGGCGAAGATCGAAAGTGACACTTCCTGAGTGCTTTCGGCAGGGCAGGAAAGCAAAATAAGGTCCGAAGGAGAAACCTGGGCTCATCGTAAAGTCAGGCACCCCGGTCCTTGAGAATACACAGCTACCAACCCGTGGTGGAGGTCCCAGAGACAAAGACGGGAGCTGCGGGCGCCGGCCGGGCCGGGGGATTCGAACCCGCGCGCTGTGCTGTGTGCGCGGCGCCCCTCACCTGTAGAAGGTCTGCATGTGCCGGTACTTGGGCGGCACGGCCATGCAGCGGAGGTCGGCCTCGTTGCGCACCGCCTGGAAGTCGCCGCAGC